CGCGGGCCCCCCAGCGCCCACGGCTCTGCGCCGTGGGATGGCTCCTCTCCCTGGGGAGGCAGGACCGGCCTTGAAGGCGCCATGGTCGGAGGGCTGGGGGTATGGCCTCCTCCGCCCTCTCCCTCAGGGGCGGGCAGCTGCACAGCAACTGCCAGTGTGAGGGGCAGCCATGCAGGGTTCCCCACACCGTCACCACTGCCCAGACCTGCCCCCCGTTGTTCTCTGGGGCCTGCCCGGGCAGGGGCAGGAGCAGGAGGGAGGAGGGCAGGGTGGTGGCCTCCAGCCCTCTGGGCCACCTCTGCCCTCAGAGAGCTCAGGCAGCGTGAGGGCGGGACAGGGCCCAGGCCAGGGGCAGCTGCAGGTCCCCACAGCTCCCACACCCCTCCACGCATCCCACTGCCCACCCTCGCTCCCACGGGCACCCCCAACCCACACTCACCTGTCTCGTAGTAGTCATAGACCTTCACCTGAGCTGGCTTCAGGCCCTGCACGGGGATGTCCCGCTCCACCGTGAAGGAGAAGCTGAGGGTCTCGCTGCTCAGCTGGGGAAGGGAAGCAGCGGAGGCTCAGGGGCGGCTCCGCACTGCCCCGGGCTCCCCTGTGCCTCCGCACTGCCCCCAGGCTCCCTCGCTCTCCCCTACCACCCGTGCCCGGGCCCTGGGGGGTGCGGAGGCTGCAGGCCTGGCTGAGGGGCAATGGGAAACCCTGGGGCCTTTCCCCACACTGGGGGAGGCTCTGTCTGGTGGGGAGGTCAGGGCCCGATCTGTGCGTGGGATGGAGGGAAAGGCTGCTGAGGGCTGGGAAGAAGGTGTCTCCTGTGAGACAGAGACAAGGTCAATGGCAGACAGGTTTATGTTTCGTGTTTACAATCCTGGAGATGCTTAGCATTGCTCTCCATCTCTGTGCATGCTATTGCCAGCGTGCTGTACGGCTCCCTGTGTGCCCCATAGCAGCCCTGGGTTAGTCCTCACCTGCTCTATGTACAGTAGAACGTGGTTTGTGCTCACTTCTGTTCGTTGGATCTGGTGAAACCAGGTGGTTGAGAGCTGGAAAGAGGAGACATGGAAGAGGTTGCTGATCTGAAGGGAAGTTAGTCAACCGTCCTTCAACTGACCTAAGTTTCCTCCCACCCCTAGAACCTCAGCAGCTGGATGCTGAGAAGTACAGGACAGGGAGAGTACTTCACAGGGGACTTGGCGAACACTCTTGTGTGAAGCCCCGCACAGCTAGTCTTCCCCCAGTTCCCACCATCTCATACTCTTGCACCTCCTTGACACAAAAATGGAATAAGGGACAGGTATGGTCACAGCTGTTGTATATCTCGCAAGGCTCCTTAGTCCCTGAAATTAGACCTGATGATCTCCTCCCAGCTCTCAGTCTCAGGGCCAAACTGTGCATATATTTGAGCTACTGCAAGCTGCCACAAGTGCTTGAGGGGTGGGAAGGGAGTGCTGCTGCTGGCATCCCTCATTCACCCCTCCTCCACAGCGGAGGGGTGGAAGAACTGGAGGAAAAGAGGGAGAGGTCTAACACTGGAGAAGATACCAGGAGAAGAATTAGATGCTCCTTTAAATAAGGAAACCGATGCCCCTGATTAAGGACAGATATACTCAAAGAAATGCTTCACGCAGCATCCTACCTTCCTCACGGAGGACTTCACGGGGATGAATCCCGACAGCATCTTCACATCAACAATCACCATGTTGGAGCCATTGCGCTCCCCAGTGTAACTAAGGAACCAAGCCACAAAGATACAGCGCACCTCAAGTCGAAGCTGGGGGCGCTTCCACCTTTTCCATAACACTTGGCACCCCACCACGTCCTGACAGTCCAGCACTTTCTTCTCCAGCTATGCCAGGGCCTCCTAGTCACCTATGCAGCCTCTCACTAGCCCAGCCCTGCGCTGCCCGCACAGCTCCACCACTGCAGGACATGTCCTTCCTCCGCAGCCTCTCCTCCCAGCCCGGCTGCTTCCTGCCCGCTTTTCCAGGGATGCACTGCCCCTCCAGGGCTTCCAGGCTGGCTCACCCTGGACCGCCAGACCTCCTCCAGCTCCCATGGCTCCTCAGGAAGGCTCAGACCCAAATGCAGACTCACCTGACATTTATGCCTATGTCAAAGACCTTGTGAGCCTTGGAGCCCTCACATGTCTCTGGGATCGTGTACACATGGAGCATGAAGGGCGCATCCTCCTGCGTGGGCTGCACGTTGTACCTCAGGCTTGTCTAGGGGAGAGCCAGCAGCTCTGTGTGAGCGTGTGCGTGTGGGTGCTCAGCACGTGAGAGAGACCATCCTCTCCCCGTCCTGCCTCCCCACTTCTCCCATTCTCACAGCTCCTCCACATTGCGGATCCTTCCCTCCCACTCTTTCTCCTCCACACACCTCTACTCTTCTTCTCCTCTTCCCTCTCCCAGAGCCTTCCCTCCCACTCCTCCCCTCCCCCCTGTCCCTTCTGCCCTCTCCCTGGCTCCTGCCTGGCAAGGGGCTCTCCTCCCACGATGCCACCTGCCCCCATCACCCTCACCTGCAGGTAGACGCACCCTTCACCAGACACCTCCGTGCTGTACTCCCCTGGCACCTGGGGCAGGGGCACGCGCTGGAGCAGCAGCCGGTTTGTGGGATCCACCTGGAAGTCTTGCTGGAAGTCCCCTCCAGATCGCAGGGTCACTTTGGAGGCTGCTCCGCTCTTGGCATAGGTGACAGCTCCGTACAGGGACAGGGCTTGGAGAGCCACCACTGTGTCCTGAGAGAGATGGGTCCCGGCACCCAGGGGAATACAGTCAGCCTTTCCACAGCCTGTCCTCCCACAGCCTGCCCTCTGCTGTCGGCAGGCATCCTCCCCTCCATTCTTCGCCTTCTCCAGTTTTAAGCCCATAGCAGAGAGGGAAATGTTTCCATTCCCTCCCTGTGTCCTCTGCGCAGCAGTTGCATGTTCCCTGAGCTCCCTGGCGTGCAGCTCTGCGCAGCCTGCACTCGCTCGCCACAGGGTGAAGCAGCAACTTCATATGCACAAACAAATTGCAGTGGGAGCCCTCTCCGATGCCACAGACACACGTCCCTTGTGTCCCTACCGTTCTGCCCCGCGGTGTCGAGAAAACCAGGTCATTAACCAAAACATCAGTCATCCCCAGAGGCACTGCCTGACATACTAGCCTCTAGCCTCTCGGGAACTTGGCAACCATGGTAGATACCGCAGGGATATACTGCAGGGCTACAGTCCCTGCCCTGGTGAACCTTACTGTGCTCCCACCTGGGTCTCTGACACTTCCCATCTTCTGACATTGATGTGTGAGGTCGCAGGAGAGAAGCAGCTCACCTGGGTGGAGGAGAAGCCTCCATTGGGATTCTGCTGACCGCTGATCCACTTTGCAATAAGAGATGCAAATGACAGCTCCTCCTGGGAAGGTGCCGGCTGCGTGGTGAGGTGAGCAAGGAGCACGTAGGCCGTCATCTCCACTTCAGCAGAGGGAGCTCGGTAGCGATAGTACGGGAGATCAACCTCTGGCTCTTTCCCAGGCCGCTGCCAATGAACAGACCCATCTTCACAGGAGGCAGGGAGCGTGGAGACAAGACAACAAGCAATTAGTAGCAGTTATTGGAAGGCAGTTCTTGATCTGCTGCCGGTCTGCCCCTTCCAGAGGGCAGAGCCTCCAGGAAGCATCCGTCACGTAGGATGAAGTGGGAAGGGTTAGACAACTCGTTGCTTGCTGCAGCTAGTCTGAGACTGCCGAGGCTCAGTCCTCAGGCCTGGATACCACTTTGCCCTAGACTCCAGATTCAAGGGGCCATCTATGGGCTTGAGCACGAGCAGAGCACCGGGCTGGCACTGCTTCCCTTGTTGAGCAGAGATGCCGGGGTTGGGCAGTGACAAGCTCTGTGAGGCACAGGGACCCAACGACTGTGAGCAGGGCTTGATAGTCACCTGCAGGTGGAAAAGGCAAAAGGTGCTGGGGCTATTTCCTTCACAGCCCTGCTACCCAACGCTTGGGCAAACCCCCTGTCCGGCCTGACTTTACCAGAAGGCTTCCGAGTCGTTACATGATTTCCTAGAAGACTCAGAGCTTATGCTATGGCCTCCGAAATGACCTGTACGTTCGTTTTCTCTCTCAGCACATGCAGCTCTTATCGTCCCTTGTGCTGTGCAAGGTCAGCTTTCTTCTATGTGGAGCACGTGCACTGGAAGGAAGGAGCGGCCATAAACATTGCTAAGTCTTTGCTAAGCGTTGCCTGGTGCGGCAAGAGGAGCGGACTGAGGAGAGACGCTAGCAGAGCTACGCTTTAGTTCAGCACCGATGGGGATGGTGCCTGGTGCTTCCTGATGAACTCCCTCGGAGCAGAGAAGTAGGACTGGGCACTGAGAGGGAGTTCTCAAAAATGCAACCCCTTTGCACAAGTTCTTCCTCTCCCTCCACCTTTCCCCACCCACACAAGCCCTTTCCTGCAGCCACTGCCCCACCAACAAAAGCCATTTTATCAAGGGAAGATGTAAGGCCAGTGGGTTGGAAGAAAGAGATGTCCCACCGGGAGCACTCACCCTTTTTCACAGCTTCCTTTTCAAGTGAGCCGAGCAATGCCTTCCGCTTCTCCTCCTTCCCTGCCAGGGCGAAGGCGTACGCCATCAGTGCCTTGGTGTACACGTGGTTTTCTTTCTCATCTGCTGCTGTTTCCAGGCAGAACAGACCGTTACGCACCACTGAGTGCTGGGAGGAGAGAGAGACTGAGCTGGAGCAGCCAGAGCTCACACTGGCTTAGAACAACAGGAATCAGATGGTACCTATGGACCCTTGACATCCCCACTCCCCTGTCTGACAAAGATCGTACCTTTGTGTAACACTTTCCCTCCAGGTCCAATACCCCTTGGAATGAATGGGCAGCCAGAGGCTGTTCCTTCTCTTCTATCTGCTTTTCTTTAATACATCTTGTTGTAATGTTTTTTCCCAGTTTGATTTAAAGACTGTGAAGCAGGGCTCCAACCCTTCTGCCTTGAGAAGAATTACTGGCCTGATTGTGTCTCAGGGCAAGGGGAGTTTTCTGATATACTTCCTCTCTGTAGAGGTATTGGATACTTGCTTTCCTCCTCTAGGTATCACCCTGAGACTGTTCTGTGCTTTCACCCTCTGCTCTATTCTTTCTTTTTTATTTTTTAGTTCCCCTTTTCCAGGGTCTTCTGAAAAAATTTCATTTTGCTGGAACTTGATAACATAGCTTCTAGTCTGGAGGTAAATTCTATCTCTGCACAAGAAAGAATATCTTTTTTTCTATTTTCTGGAATATTTTTTGTGACATGTTAACATCAGCAATGCATGTCTTTTTGAAGCCAGAATCTCAAGTATGGTTTAAGAACACAGTCGCTACAACAAAGCAAAATGTAGCTACTTTGCATAGTGTTAAGTAACAGACACTGTGACCCCGTGACCTTTCACCAAGACACATGACTATTCCTCATTTGTGATGGAAAAACTGGTATAAAATTGAAGCAATAACACTGCAGGGGGGCATGCCATGATCTGAAGCCTAACAGCACATTTACAGCTTAATCAATGGTCTAGAAGGGAAAGACTTATTTTTCAGTGGCTTTGTACTTTGCCTTCACTGGGTGTGTACTGGAAGATGAAATCTTTTGTGGTCACTTTTGGAGAAGGAATTCAGCTGCTTTTGAGAAAGCAGAGAAGAAAAATAAAACTGGTTGGGTCTATGCCTCACCTAAGGTTTCCTATGCCTACTACTGTTTGTAAGGTAAGTATTGGGGAGGAGTTCAGTCTAATGACAAGACATGGCAGTAGCTACACATGCTGAGAACAGTACTAGTAAGTTTTTTATGAGGGATCTAATATGGCTTATTTTACTTACAGAAATACTCTGTATGCCTGCCAATAGCATTGAATACCTAAGGGCTGTGCTATGCTCAGGAGTTCATGCAGCTTAACTTGAAATGCACCCATATCCCAATCAGATTCTGACAAACCCCTTCACGTTCAGTGGCACTTTCAGGCTCAGATAGGGAAATGAAAAACATCCTTGTTATCCAATACAGCTCTGCCTGAGAACTTGCCTCCTAAACACAACACATACCAAAGAAAGAATACTCTTCTGGTGAAGTTAATGTCATCCATGTCACCCTACTGACAAAATAATTCCTTCTGCTGGTTCTCACTATACAGGAAAAAATTTTCAACACAAAATAGTCCCTACTACATTCGGAGCAGAGGGATTACATCAGCCTGGCAACCATCCTGGCTCAGCAATCCTGCTGAAATTCACACCCCAATTTTACCTGCACCAGAGGCTTGTCTCACAGTGAGTGGATCATAGACTCAGGGTTCAGAATGACCAAAACCACATTGCCTTTAAATAGGCTTCAGGCTTTTCACAGACTACCGTTTACGGTATTCCCTATAGGTATACGTTATTCCCTATAGGTATACGTTATTACCTATAGGTATACCTTATTCCCCAAGCATTAAGGATGGGGATTTCCCATAAAACAATCTAAAAGAGGCAGAGAAAATGAGAATGAATCCATGAGTGTGCCACCTTTTTTTTACAGACCTGTGCTGTTGAGTCAACTCAATAGGCCCATGCAAGTGGTTCAACAGGAATGTACTATTCCAACAAACAAAAGATTTTTGTGGGTGTAGAAAACCTATTTGGCTCATTTCAGAGATTTAAATATTATTTAACTCACTGTTAATCCAAGCTGTACTCTTTTAAAGGAGCAAAAGCTTGATTCGCCACAAAAGAACTCAGAAAAAGATTAAGTGAAATGTGTATAGGGGAGACAGGATTGGACAGGGGAGGAAAATGGATGAAAAGTGTTATTCCAGTCTAGGCTTGAACAGAAAGAATATTCAGAGAGGATTTCTTCTTTCAAGAGGTAAAGGAACCTCATAATCTGGGGGGCCACAAGTAGGGCAGGTTAGTACCATATGTGGCTTGGGTTGGGGTGCAGACACATACAGTTACAGGCAGAGGAATCTCCAGCAATGCAATAATGATGTAGGCCGTCAGCGTGATCTCGTCGTTCACTCCACCCTGCAGGGAACCACAAAAGTAGATGTTGATCCCACACAGCACCACTGTCTTCTCACTGTGCTACATATCTACATCCTGCAGGGACAAATTCTTCCAAGCCTCCTTCTCCTGGTAAGTCCTTCAGAAGCTGCTGTTGGCTTCTTCCTGCTTCTGTGATAGTTCACATATTTAACTCCCCCTCCTCCCCAACCCCCAAGTGCTGAAATAGCTCTGTTGGTCCCAGAGTGACTTATGGTCAAGTTCCAGCCTGACAAAGCCCATGTGGAGCCAACCAGGCAGACACGTTACCTTCATGGCATTGTTCAGGAGTGTCCCAGAACTGCGGAAACAGCCGTTCTCCTTCTGCTTTTGAGTGAGCCAGACCAAAGCATCCTGGATGTGCTTCTCATCTATGAAGATGTGAGGCCGGGCCTGGGCAAAGGACTTGAGGACAAAGGCTGTGAGCCTGAAAGTGACAGAGGGAACTGAGACATCCTGAGCAGGCCCCGTATCCATCATAGGTCACAGGGCCCATGTGGGCATCATTGTTCTGGAGGAAAGCAGTAAAGGCTACGGGACTTGATCACAGGGGGCTGGTTGGAAACTGTGAGCTAGCCTAGTGACTCAGTGAGATAGGGACCAATGGTAAATGGAGCCTGCTATTCATAGCCCCGAGGGCTGCGGGTAGGTGGGCAACGGCACTCTGGGGATTCATCAGCATCTTCTGCTAACAAGAGCTAGCTAGGGCATCCTACAGGTCACCCTCACTTGAGCTGAAGAAGGGTGTCAGGGGAGGTAAATAGCTATCAGTGCAGCATTGCAAACCTAAAAGGCATCTCCCTTAGCATCCTTCCCTGCTCCATTATCCCCCATGATTATCCTATGATGCCATGATTATCATTTCATCTCCACCTCCATTTCAACCTCCACAATGAACAAGCACAAGAGAACACTGAGGAAAGGGAGGGCATGAAAAGCAGAAATGAAAAGCCAGCAGTACTGAAGTCTTACCAGGTATTCCCAACTTGCCCATAACGGGGCCCAAAGGTGCTATACGAACCATCCCAGTGTTTGTAGTTCAATTGCCTTTGATACCCTGAAATAGAGAATGGAAGAATATTTTAGTTGTCACAGTACTTTTCAAGGACCCGTGCAAAGGAAATGTAGCAGACATGGAACACAGCGTCCCCCTTCTTACGGCACAAGTGTGAGCTATGCTGCTCAGTGTTACAATGGAAGTTCAGGCAAACCCACAGCTCCGAGGGCCTCCATCCTTGTTCTCTTCCTCTCTCCTAAAACTCCTGGAAACTGGGTATCTGCGGTCATTGCTGCTCTCTGCCTTAGACTTGATGAGGAGAAGTAAATGTATCCCAGACTTGAGAGAAATGGGAAAACAGTTGCCAGAGGAGAACTGAATACAAAGGTGAGCCCCACACAGGATAGGGATGCAGAAAACAGCATTTTCATTGGAGGAAGTGCAATTTTTCTGCAAAGTAACTGAGTAAAACCAGTCCCTTGTTAGTCAGCAGATACCTACTGTGTCCATATGTATTGGTGTTATGTCTGCCAACATGTCCTAGCCAGTGTGTTAAAATTCTGGCCTAGTTGAAGGTGAGTGACACTTTCTAAATCTTAATCCTAAGGAGGGTCCGAGATCTACATAAGCAGCTGCTATGATGAATGGTTGCAGCCTGATTTATGTATTTCATATATCCCTTTTCTTACAGAGAGAACTCTGAGTTATTGCCAGTCCTGGACTTTTTCTACGTTCCTGTTTGGATGCTGTCCTCTCTCAGCCTGCACCTCCACCTGAGTGCAGGATTCTCTCTCTTACAGATATTGTATTATATACAACTGACCTACCACATGTTCCCTTAATGCACCAGGACAGCCTCCCCCAGATCATACATGCCAGTGGCCAAGAGTGTCCTTACGCAGTTGTCAAGGGAAGGAATGAACAGAGAAGCAAAAGCTGTGTCCCAGCTCACCGCTCACTAAGTATCCGATGGCCTTGGATTTGACCTCCTCACTCAGCTGCCCTGTCTTGTTCAGATAGTCCAGGACGTAGATGTTGGGTGCAAAAAGGACCATGTTCTGCTCCCCACAGCCGAACGGCATCTGGAGGAGCTGGTGCAGGTTCTGCATGGCAGTGCCCATGATGTCGCCTGGGGAACAGGACAATTTCCAGTGTAAATTAGCACAGTTCAGGGCTTGCCAGTAGACTGAGCACAGCCTGAAGAAACATGGCAGTGTTTCAAAATAGCATGTGACGCATTAAGAATGCTTCACTTACCTAGCACTGAGAAATATGCTCTGGCTGAGCCATCCACCACAGTCTCTGGGAGAACCAGGGAGACTGGCTCTGACATAGACTTTTCTGGGATAAAAATCAGATCAATTTGGTTACAATTCTGGATATATCTACATGCATGGGTAGCAGCTAAGAGCGTGAGACACCATCCCCTGCACAGGGATTTCCTGCCTTCAACAAATCCATTCATCTGCAATTTTGTTGTGGAAGCTTCCCATCCTGCACATTTTGTGTTGGGCCTGCAATACCCTCACACACAGACTGTCATGGACTTCTACATGGCACTATCAGCTGGCCTTGACTGACAAATACACTTTCTGGCTTATTTTTCTGGCCTCTTCTGCTTTGGTGGGCAGACCTGGCTTACTGCAGAGTCCGGTTTGTGATTTTACACCCATTGCATGAAAGACGTTAGCGATAAGCCTATTAAATCGCAGATATTCTCTCCCTACAGGGACCTGGCCAGCATCAGTTCCTAAGAGATATGCTTCTGTCTCTGTAATTGCAGGGACTATTACAGCCTCAGCTCTTCTCCTTTAGGAAGAATTAGTTTCACTACCAGTTGGACATACATCTACTTTGTTCAATTTTATCAGATCCTTACACCATTCTTTTCAGAGCAGAGCATTCACAAACCTTGTCTTTTCCCTTTGTCTTTAGTCTCTACCTCAGCAAAGAAAGTCTTAGAAAGCAAAAGGCTCTTACCAGCTGCACAGAGCACAGAGTTGTAGGTAGTTTCCACCTCAATCCCTTCCGGCTTGGGGAAAAAAGCAAGAAAAAAAGAAAAAAATGAGAAACAACAACAACAAAAAAGAAAAGGAAGAAATATCAAGAACAAAACTAAAAGGGACTCTAAGAAAATTAAATACTTATAAATTCTCCTGTGGTAATAACTTCATTATACTGAAAAATCTTTAGAAGTTGCTTACAAGGTTTTTTCTTCTGTGTGCTAAACTGAGGATAATTGAGGACTATAACATACTGGCTAATTGCAAACATGAAACTGAAAACATGTTCTTTCCTTTCTTATTACTGAGAGAAGCCCTGCAGCTTCACAGGTTATGATGTAGATAACACGCAAGATGATGTTACCAACAGTGCTAACAGAGCCACAGGGCTCTGTCTTCCAAGGTGCTACCTGCCTTGGGCCAGTCTAGCAGAACTCCCCAGACAGCGATGACGGCTGAGTGCCTGGGACACCGGTAAGATATGTATGCGAGAGCTTTGACAGGTGGCAACTAGAGCACTCCAGTGCACCCACAAGTGACATGTTACAACACCCAAAATTTAACTACATGCCACAGTCAACTGGTGATTGTATCCCTCTGTTTCAAAAACTTCTAGCCTAATTTTTGAAGTCAGAAAAGAAGCCCTGTTTTCTGTTGAGCTGGTCAAAAACATTCTGCATAAAACTCAGGAATCAAATATTTACTAGAAAACATATTTTGTCAGAGTTTATTTCAGTGAGATCCTCGCATCAATTTTTTTAACCTCCAAATAGGAGAGGTCCCATTGCTTCATTACTGGTTCCCAACTTTTGCCAGCTGAAAATTTTTTCCAGCATTTAAACAATGGTATTACCTTCACTTTCTCACACAGTTAAAATACATTGTCTTCCTTCTTCACAGAGTTTATTTCAGTGAGATCCTCGCATCAATTTTTTTAACCTCCAAATAGGAGAGGTCCCATTGCTTCATTACTGGTTCCCAACTTTTGCCAGCTGAAAATTTTTTCCAGCATTTAAACAATGGTATTACCTTCACTTTCTCACACAGTTAAAATACATTGTCTCTCCTTCTTCAATATGAAAAGACAGAGAAAGATTAAAAGAGTAGGGGGGGGAAAAAAAGAAAAAAGAAAAAGCTTTTAGGATAAACTATGACAGAGCTAAATGCTTCTGTTTGAAAAGGCACCTTCTTGTTTGTTTCAGTATGTCATTCTGAAATGCAACTAAATGAAAAATCCATTGTTTTGTTTGACTTTGAACATTTCAACAGGAAATTAAAACATACAAACTGTAACTATTTGAAAGATTTTCCTTTCCAGCTGAGAAATTCCTGGGTGAAAAAACATCCTGTTTCCCAACTAGCTCTCAGCAAGCCTTGGTTTCCCGAGGGGCAAGAGGAAGCCCCAGGGGCTCTGGCAGACCCCCTTCTCTCTCACCAGGATGCGCTGCCTGCTGCAGGGGATATTGACATCCATGTGTTTGGGACAATGCAGCTCCACCCCAAGCAAGTTACACTGTATCCACCCCTGTTAATTAATTGTTCAGCCTTGGATGCTAATCTCTGATTCTATCCAGTCAGGGCTTGCTGTAGATTAATTACCTCATTACAATAGCAGGATAAGACCAGTAATCTCTCAGACACCCCGACAGAAGTAATTTTAATGCTCATTCAGTTATTTTCACTCCCCTGCCATCTGGGAGAAAAGACTACAGTTCTGATCTTCCAGTATTTTCAAAGAACAAAATAAACACTCTTTCTCCTGAAGGCATATATGAAATTAGGAAGTTTTCCTGAAATGTTAAACAGCTATTCGAGCCCTGATACACGAAATGCACTATACAATCACACTCATTTGTAAATAAGTGAAATTAAAAAAAAAAAAGCCGCCTAACATATATGATTGTTGTTCCATCCTTACATTCAGGTTAGCAAAACATTTTCTGAAGTTACATAGCTCTGCCTTACTGAAAATTGGAATGTCTGCAATGTAAGGAGGAGTTGCAATGTCATATATTACTCCTGACTTAATTTTGTTAAATATGATTATTCCTTCCTGTCATGCGTAGGATTGACAATATTATGACATGTGATATTATATAGATTTCACTATACAACAAGCTAGTACTCTTTGTTTGCTATTAATATCACAGGGAGTCTTATACTGTGGATTAATTTTATGCCTGGCTATTTATCATAGGAAAAGCTGTGGTTTTATCATTGCAAAACACCGCTTAAGAAAAAAATGTACAAAAGAATGCAAAAATAAAAAGTTAGTTCATACTGTTTTGAACAGTAAAAGTGTAATAAAACCAATTCAAAACCATGACGGTAGTTTTGTTTGAAAATATTTGTAGATTGCGGTGACTGTTCCATATTCCAGAGTACTGGCCATGTGCTCGAGGAGATGCATAAGGTTTCTGGCAAGTCTTCCATTTACATTTATCCCTGTGATTTATTACAGGTAAAACCAAGGAGTTCTCATTTATCTCCCAGATGATATGTCTGGGACAAATCTGTCATTATTGCCTGCCTTATTATTTCTGTCCCACTATGTAGTGTAATACCCTGCTTTTACTATGAGATGGCAACATTATGAGTTATGGGCTCTATTGGCCTGTGTGAGATTTATCAATGCTTCTTTTATAAAAGCGTGCAGAATAAGAGTCACACAAGCCATTATTGCTGCTATCATGGCTAAACCAGAAAACCTTTATCATACAGCAGCTGTTGCTGTGGAGCATGAAATTATTACCACTTTTCTGTGCCACCAAACTCAGCAGCCCACGTACCTCCACCAGCAGCTGTCTGATGACCGTGTCCTTCCGCCCTTTCTCAGGGGTCTCCACAATGGTGTTCCCGCAGGGCTGCTGGTTCTGCAGGGCCTCAGTGCTCACCGAGAACTCCACCTGCCCTGGAGGAAACAGGGGTCAGCCAGCCCTGCCGGGCAGTGCCAGGGAAAGGTGGGTTTGTGTTTGTTCTGGGCACTGTCTGGTGCGTTACAGAGAAGCTTTTCCAAGAGGAGAACTAAACTCGAGACAGTGTTTTATCTTGATCCAGCTGCAGCCTTCCAGGCCACCTCCTTCATGATGGCCACCCAAGCAGGTGTTAGTCCATCAGCAAGAAAAGTAGTGGAGGGGCAGGTCTTGTAAATCAAACAGACTTGTTCTGGGAGGCTTCAGAGAAAGCAAGCTTCGATTAAAATATTTCAGACCCAGCCACATTAAGCTAAGACATTCTCAGCTCCACAACAGGAATGTCTGAGTGCTTTGCATGCATTAAGGGAATTTGTGATTTCTATTCAAATGTTAAGAAAACAATGGCTCGTAACACTTAAATAGTTTGTTTAGGACCCGGAAACTGCATCCCCGTGTAGTGTCTCAACCTCAGGTTGGAATTCTCACTTCTGGCATAGACAAGATCCTTCCAGACACGTTTGGAGTCACCTAGCTCCTCACATCAAAGATGTGATGTCATCCACAGATATCTGATCCCAGTATTTTCTTGTTATCCAGCCTCTTACCTAGAGATCTTGGTGTTACGGCCCAAGCCACAGTTTTCCTTTCATTCATGCAGATGCAGTAGGATTCTTCCTGCTTCTCTACTGGTTTAACCAGGAAATGAGTAGATTCAGCCAGAGACACGCTGACCTGCCAGTTGTACAGAGAGGTGTCATGAAGGTTGGAATTGCAGAGAAGCTGGGGTTACTGGAGGCAGTGCATGGAAACGTGTAGTGGAGCTGGTTATACTGTGGGACTGAGAACCTAATGGATATTGCAGAGCAAGAACTGGGTGATAAAGTGGGGAAAGGCTGAGATGTGTACGATTGTAAGAGATTGGGGAGGTAAGTGTAGAGAACAGGACATGTATCTTTGGAAAGGAAATCCATTTTCTGGGAAAATGGAGAGCATGGACCAGTTGTGTGAGTAAAGGCAAAGCAATAACTACAAACTTAGCCATGAATTAAAGACCCCCCTCATGATTAGTTAGGTGAAGAGGTAAAACATTAGCAGTGGGAAAGCTAGTAAGGGAACAAGGGAGAGTGGAATAAGGAGCCTGAAAATAGGAGACAAAACAGGAAAGACAGGGAAATAAATGAGAGTGCATTGGAACGGCTGGATCGGTGCCCCTCCTTGTTTCAGCTTCATTCCTTTTAGAATAAAAATTTGTATTTATAAAAAACTGAGCAAAGGTGATGGAGATTTTGTTTGAATTACCTCCCAAATTCTCTCTTGTCTTTTTTGCTGGTGAAAGAATGCAGATAAGAATAGTGAAACTATATAGCTCTGCTCAGCGTCTTAGGGGCAGATGCAATAAATCACAGGAAGTCTGCATATTCCAGCAAATCTGGTGTGATACTTTGTGAGCTGTTTATATGAGGTGAGACTAAAGACTGAACACAGGTATCCACCCTGGTGAACCTGGAGTTTCCATGTGGGTATGCAATGATGCTGTGGTCTGTGGATAACCCAAGTTTCATATTTCTATAGGACAATGATGTAAATCTGTAATGACAAGGCCTCAGCAACAGAGCTTTAGGTTCTGAATCAAATGCAGCTTTCAAAACTTTGTCAGAAAAACATATTCCCCCTTCATTAAATACACCAAAAATTCCCATATGTACACCTATATGAAATTATAGTCAGAGATCAGTCATCTGGCTTGGGAAACCATATTATAAGTGGCCCATTGTAGCTTTCTCTAAGCTGTCAGACTGAGCAAAGCTGTGAATGTCTCTTACCCTGATGCAGGTGGTCAGGTAGTTGAAAACGGTGGCTTTCAGCGTGAAGGCCTCACCACGCACTACAGAGTAGGGCACGGTGAGCTCTACAAAGAAGGGCTGGAAGGCTCTGAGGGACACTGTCGGGGACAGGCCAAAGCCCGTGTCTGCCGAAGTGCAGAACGCATTGGCTTTCCACTCGGTGATGGTGTCAGGGATGGTCACATCTAGATCAGCATTTCCCTCCGAGCTGGCAAGGGACGGAGAACAAGATTTCAGTTATATTCTCGTGATCATCTATGTTTTTCTTGGCCTACTGAACCACACCTGCTGACAGCAAACTCCTGACCAGTTGGTATATGGGCACTGGCTTTTGCACGTCCTCCCAAAGCATCCTATAGTTAGTGACCTTGAAAAATCTCTCTGTCTACTAGAAATATCCCTCTCACTGAAATACTGACGCTTCCACTGAGGCTTAAATATCTTCCGAGGCCCCAGTGACCACACTCTACATTCCCATAAACGCTTACTTCACTGAAACTATGTCCCAGATCCATGTCTCAGGGAAGTACTTCCGGACGGTCTCCACAGGATTGCCAGCAACCATATGTTCTGTTATTTCATAGTCCAAATCTTCAAGCAGAGTCAATGCAGCAACTAGCAAATTTGTTCAAGGACAGGAAGAAAGGAAAAGACATGTCAAACTCCATTCTAAATCAGGAGGATACTTTCCTTCCAGGTAGTGGTTATTCTTAGCTAAAATTTTAAAATTGAAAGAACAACTTTGAAACCTTGGCTACTGGAAACAAATGTATTTCTCTGTTGTCATCTCAATATTTCATTTTTCCTAATGTTGTTGCTCTTCTTACAGAGATTAGATGGGGTCGAGCATTCTTCCCCCACTGCCAGCAAACCCAGCAGTGCCAAAAGAGCCATGTATGATGATGTTATTGAGGGTACATTTCTATTGCAATACAGAGTCAAATGTGGAACTTACTGCCTCCAGATATTACAGTTGCACATAGTTTATTAAATTTGGTTGAAGAATTGATTGTGTTTATACATGACCAGAAACAGAAGCCACACTTAGCCCTCCCCTTCTCCATCTAAGATTCTTTTGAGGTGAATATGGGTCTTTACATCTCTGGCCATTAGCAAATAAACGGTTCCAGAACAGGGAGATGCTTTCTCACAGTGTTGCATAGTGTTGTGCCTTATGAAAGGATTTCCATCAGCCTTAGAAGACTACACCTTCTCAAAGCAGCCAGCTCTCTCAGGCCATGCTCTGAAGACAAATCCTGCATTTCAAAACCAAAGATCTGATCTGTTATGAATAGAAGGCTAGAAGCTATCACTAGACCAAAAGCTATCATCTTTTAATAGGAGCTGGGATACTGCACCAGAAAAGTCAGTGACTGGAAGTGATATAGGTGAGAGTGTTTTGTATAGCCTTTCTAATCTCAGAACTATTCAGAAAAAAAGAAGTAATGTCATTATTCTATCTTCACAGTCACTGAAGCTGCAGAGAAGTGACCTGACCTACCCAGCGTCTTATAGTCATGTGAGTGGGAGAGCTGGGAACAGAACCAAATTTCTCAGCCCCCGGTGGTAAAATATCTACCCACAGAATTGTACCACCATCTCATTTATCTTGACCCACTTTTGCCCTAGTTGTTTCTCTAGTTATTGCTAGAATGTGACTACCTAGAAGTAAAGACTCCTTTTTTAGGTTTCCATAGCTGGACTCAGATCTGATGGGAAAAAGCCACTACTTTGTGCTGGCACAGTCCATCCAATGTAGGCAGACTGTCTTAGTGCCTACAGGATCCCTGCTGTAGGGGCTGGCATGGGAGTCACCGAGCACACACAGTTCTAGCTAGGCATATCTGTCTAGCTGGGCATAAGCATGCAGAGGTGTATCAGTTTCATATTTCAGGACTGAGGCCAGAAGGGAGTGATCCTGAATTGGGTCAGTATTATCTGACAAGAGAATCTGGTCTGCCTGGTGTAATTAATATTCAAAGAAGTAGAGGGAAGGAAAGAAGCAGGGTGGTAAATTTTAGGTAGTTGTGTGGGAGGTAAAATGAAGCACGTATTCTTACTAGAACTACTGTAACTCCTTTCCATCATGTGTCCTGGGTAATGCTGGCAGATTTCAGGCTTATGGATCTTGCTGCTAGTGAAGACTTTTAAGCCCAATTCCTAGTAAACAAAGAGAAAGAAGAGCAAAAAATATGAAAACACAGTTTTGAAAACAAACTATTTTTAGTATGTCAAGAATAGATGTACATATGTCTGGTATCGATCAGAGTAACAAAGGCTTGTATATAAGTGCCAGATAGACTGGTTCAACCCAGATGTTGAGGCTTTATCATGTTATACTCATCCTAAGGCTAAATCTTGGCATGATCAGATGGAAAGCTAAGGCCACAGGTCTACTTTGGGGACATCTGCCTGGGTGAAAATGACACGTGTGAAAAGCATTAGTTTGAGGATACCCAGTCTTGTGCAGGACTCTCTAGATGGGTATAGGTGTGTTTGTGGGTTATCAAAGTAACTGGCACTTTATTAAAGACCTATCTACACCAGACAGAGAGAGAACATGCACGACTGAGGAAGGGTTTCTAATATCATGATACCAGGGGTCACTTCTCAGGATTTTTCAAGTTTCCTTACTTGAGCCCATTCACAGGTATCTCTACTAGCAATGAGGAGCCCCTTCTGTGTTCGGAGAAGCACTTGGGTACCAATGATGGGCTACATAAATGCAGGGCCTGGGCCTGGTTATTGTCTTGCATACAAAAGTTAGCAAGCTTAAAGCAAAGATCACTAAAAAACCCTTCAGGACAGGGGAGAAGAGGAGTGGAGACTGTATTCCAAAAAGGAGTAACAAATTAAAACAAAAGGCTGGAGCTTACTTTGAGAATGTCATAGGCATCACCTTCGCCATCAGGAGAAATGGGTATGTAGACGAATCCATTTAATAATATGTTGTCAAGTGACACACAAGGGTTTATGTTGTCTTCTTCCAGGTAGTATTCCTTGAAGCTATAACCCCGGATTTCCTTCAGTGGGAGAAGATCATACACCTGGGGAAATGCAAACAACCAGGGAAAAGTGTGGCAGGTCAGCACTTACAGGGACACAGACACTACTTAACACTCCCTTGATAAAAGCCAGCTTCTAAAAAAGAAGTGCACCTATAAAAATACATGGCCCCATGTCCACAGTGGTGTTAACTGTAGTTGAAGAACTAGTTTGTTTTTGTAATTCCTCATTACCGGAAATAACCAAGACTTACAGAGCTGGGAGAGAGCTCGTCTTCAGGCTTCATGAGGAGAACGCTCTTGTCCACAGTGCGGAGGGCACACAGGGACCTTGGTGAGGTATGGAGTTGCAGGCGTGTGTTGGAGGCAGGAAGACCTTCCTTGGGTACAAAACTCAGTCTGACCTGCAAGCCCAAAAGGAAGTTAAAGCAGCCACTTTTCCAGACACTGTTACATGCTATTATATTGAAGCATCTAGCCTTGTGAACTAAGCTCTGCTAGTGCCTTGCAGCTCTTCTAATATATATTCAGCTTTGACCAGTGTAATTAATAATGACCAGTGATTCTCCTTCTTATTCTGTCTTGCTCCACTTTTTATAGTTATGGCTTTGTAACTTATTCTGGAGTTTCAGTCACTAATCCTCAGTCAACATCTGGTCAGACCATTTCATGAACCCATTGTGAATTCTGCCTACATTCTGGAACTGATAACTGAACTACTGGCCATGAGACAAACATGGGTTGCATAAACCCTGACTTATACTCACTTTATTGGGGAGGCAACTTTCAACCTGGAAATCTGCTGAACTGGCGATGACTTCCCCACTGGGTGAAGTAGTATACACAAGCATCCGTGCCAGGGGAGCAACTGCTGCCTCAACAGGGAAGGTCAACTGAAATGTCCCATAAGCTAACAGAGACAAAAAAGGCTAAGCAACATACAAGAAGTTCCAGTATATGCATTTGCCTTCCCCAGATAAAAAAGTCAAGTTCACCCTTGCTGAACATTTCTTGTTCGTAGGGGCAGGAATACTGATACATGACTGAAGTCTATGGCTGTTGCTGAAGACACCTACATTCAAACAGTGATCATGTAATAGCCAAATGAGATGAGTTTGGTGGGCCTCAACATGCCTTCTAGATTCTCGCCAGTTAACATCTGGCATAATTTCTTGATGTTCCCAACCCCTTTCTTCCTCAAGCTCCAAGATCTTGTGCACTCTACAAAAATAGATGAGGGAAAAAATGTAGAAATAAGGGACTATTGTAATGGGTGGCAGCAGTCAATGTTGCAGAGTGGTTAAAAGAATATCATTGCAAAGTTACTGCTAAGCAAGCATTTAGCTGGAACACCAAGCTATTGCTCCAACCGCAGTGGAAAATGCCCTTCTATGTTGAAAGACTCTTCCTAGCTGGGCCTGAGCTTCATGTCACAATCTGGACAAAGGTGATGATAGAACATCTCTTGTTATGAGCCAGGGTGTTAGTTTAGTCACTACTACTAGTGAGGATGTAGAACCTTCATGAACATGCAGCACACAAGATCTTTTACTTCCATATACTGTTTATATCCACTGCAGTGCAACTCCTTCTCATAGACTTCCAAAATGTCTCCCTGGTCTCATTGTTGAAAGACTTTTAAAGATGTATCATAGCCAGCCTCAGTTACTGAAATGTGTAATCCTTGGACATTTATATGAATAAAATTAAATGTATTGGTAAGAATATAGTATGTGTGTGTTTGCATGCTTATAAGGGAGAAACAATACCAAAAAAATGAAGGAAAGCGAGAGAGAGAAAGAAAAGGAAACATGTTCTTCTTCCTGCTCACTCTATGTGTGAGTCTTACAACACTGGTAAGCATCCACAATCTGAATAGGGTAGAGCAGTCAGCAAAAAGTGTTGGTTTGAGGAAAAAATTACCAAAACATTAGGCATATTTTTTGTTGAATTTTCTAAAATTTTCTGGTCGAAAAAATAGCACCTGACAGAGCTCAGAGAAAACAAAACTAACCCAAGCCACTTCATTTAAAAAGATTTAATTTTGAAACTGCATTTCAATTCAAACATTAAATGTTTGAATTGAAATAATTTCTCTACATCCCCCTGCCCCCAAATAATCATCAGAGATGCTAAAAATGCATAGTTCTGCTCACCATCTCCAGGATTCACAGTCAGTTCATGGGTGTCTGCTAATATAATGCCTCCCTTGGCCATCACCTGTGTGACAGAGAAACCTTCCTGTAATTGTTGCTACCGGTGTTGAAGGGAAGGAGAATGAACATTCACTGCGTTAACTGTAGACTGTGAGTATGAACAGCACTGCCAGCTGTGAGCAAAACCAAGAAGATACTAAGCAAGTGCCAGACGGGAATTTACTGTGTCTTTGGAGACATAAATATTCACTCCTAGGAGGACCAATGTTTCCTCATTGGTCAGACCTGGCTTCCCTTTTGTACATATTGTATATATAGATCAGGTTCAAATGCACTTTGCCTCTGAGCAGCCATAAGTTTGTGGGTCATATGCACATTTCTAACAATTTGGAACAGATTGATGATCAGAAGTTCTCCTTGCTCCACTCTCAGTTGCATTGTGAAACAGTCTAGAGAAAAATTAAATCAGGATTAGTTTCATAACTCACACAGAGTAGGAACAGAAGAGCACAGGCTGTAAATAAGAAGAGCTTGAATAAGGTACCTGAAGTCAGGCAGTAAGCAACAGCCTGAATGCTAGCTATAATTTCCTCATTTCTAGAAGAAGTTTCCTTTTATATGCCTTTTATACAATTACTTTCCATGTAGGATATCTATTCCATAGCACCATATTTTAATTTCAAGATGTGGGATCCACACCTATAAAAATGTAAGTTCCCTCACTGTTTGCTTACCTGCTGTATGCATATACTTAAGAATAAGTTTCCCAGGCTACCGGGATAAACAGGAATCTTATGCTTCAGTTTATTGTTAGCAGTCTTGAAAATAAGGACATGGACACCTCTGCCACAGGTTTCTATTCTCTTTTTTGTAATCTAGTCTAAGTCCCCCTCATGTTCTGCATAATCCATCAGAACAGGAGTGTCTGTTCCACTGATTTCTTCTGGCTCTCCAAGGCTACTCTCATCTCTTCTGCTAGTGTCGCTGAATGGGAAGACCAGAAAAACAAATTTAGGGGGAAAGAAGTTCTATTTGAATATTAATCTGATTATCCCTGTTCTCCCAAGCGAAACTGATAGATCATTGTTCAGTCACAGTTGAATTAGTCTCTCTTCTCTGCCCCCCCCCAAATGAATCCATTCATGGTTCTCAATGCCAGCATGTTATAGTCTGTTCCAGTTACTGTGGTATCCCAAACTTTCCACCGTTGCCCGATATATGACCTAAGCTCTAAGTTTATTGGGCTTTTCTGGTGCTATAGTTAGAGGTGTTGCTGTAGTTTCAGTGGTCAGATGACTACCAAAGGACAAAACTGAGTAGGAGACTGCCTTTCTCCTCATCTTTCATCTTCTTGTTGCAGGATGCTGGTTTCTGAGCTGTGACCATATATGAACCAGAATCTGGAATGGGGAAAACTGGGGGTGGAGTATTATGAAATGAGAGTCTTGGATGGCTGCACCCAAGACAATGGTCTCTCCATCAATATTGTGTCTCTCTTCTGTTCTTAATAAAACATGTACGCCCTACCCATGTCTGCACACAGAAGACAACATGAGAAACATTATGGAAATGTGTTTAAATCCCACTGCCGCAAGCCACACTTTCAGTTTCAAACTCTCTCTATCATTACTGGCTAAGGACTGACCACATAGCAGTGCTATGGTTGCTCATCATGGAAGGTAGCTATATGTGCCACAGTGCTCTCTGTGGCCATAGATCAAAGTAACCACAAATAATTCTTACCAAATAGTAAATGACAATTTTCTTCTGCTCTCCTATGGCCTCTGATGTGAAGATATAGTGCACCTGGATCTCCGTGGGGGAGCCACAACTTAACATCTCAGGCTTTGGCTCAATTTTGAGGAAACTCTTACTGGGGGAGTAAAACCGACTTATTCTACGCATGGCATGCTCATATGAAGGTGTGATCCAGTCGCTGTCATAACAGTTCAGTTCAGTTTTATGATCAGCCTGATAAAGAAGAATAAAAAATTCACAGCTGACCAAAACCAGGTAACAAGTCACATGAAAGTCCACAGAAAAACTCTGGGTATGTTCTATATTTCCCACTCTTAGAAGAAGGTGGAGAACATGCACAGGAGACACAGAGAAGAGAGGTGACGTGCCAAGAAACTTGATTTATCTTCCAATCGGCAGAAAGACTGATAACCCATGGATAGATATTTCCCCTACTGATCAGAAAGACAGAGGCTTACCCCAGTCCCTCTGCCCTGTGTCTGCCACTCACTTGGATTTCCAGGGAGGCTTGTGTGAAGGTGGTAGTGTCTATGGAAAACCAGGATTGTCCCTGCTCATCTGTAGTGTAATTCCCTTTGTATCTGTCTCCATCCACAGAAATCATGATGGTTTCATTGGCGATTGGAGCATCAGTGCCATCTACCAGCTTCACCTAACAGAGCAAAAACAAACTTCAGGTTTTAGACTAGAAACAGAAAACAATTCCCAAGTCTTAAAGCCTCTTCTCCCTTTTCCTCCTTGCCAGGCAGGATGTTTCTTGAGGAGAAGAACAAAAGACGTGAATGTGGAAATGTGTGGGGTAAGTCCTGAGTTGTCTGAGGCAGCAACTGAGAAAATTCTCAGCAAAACAATCTGATCGGCCTAGGGAAATTATCTGTCAGAGCCCTAAGTTCCTCAGTAGGTTTTAATTCCGCTGGCCAGCTTCACATGGGACCTCCACCACATACCATCTGCCTCTTGGTTCAGGAACTCTAAGTTCAAGCTTGTGCCTTGCCCCAGTCCTTGACTAAAGCTACATTGGAGGTAGACCTACACCCAGCTCTTTCTCCTGCTATTCCCATCTGGTTAACTGGACTTCCTTGGTTGAGCTCAGCCCTGACTCATCACCTCACATTGTCTGGTGATTGCTGGACTGTTGGTGGAACCTGTTACTGTCACCACCCCTGCTTTGTTCAGTCTGGTTGGGTACTGTGGGACTGTGCCCTTGTTGATGAGGTCACTACGCCTACCTGTGTTGTGGTCACCCTTTGCACCTGGATAATGTTCCCACACTTGCTGCTCCCTGATGTTATTCTCATGTGTCAGAACAACGGGCCTTCTATTCTGTACTGGGCTGACTGCCAGGAGGTTCAGGGCCATGTGTCTGTTAGAGTGCCCCAACAGACAGTAATTCGTCTGCCTGTGCAAAGGCAGAGGAATATGGACCATGTCATCTGCACACTGCTATTCCATCTGATGGGATTGTGCACTTGTGAGTTTGCTATGCCATTCATTGTCCAGGGTCTCAGAAGTTACCTACCCTCCCAAAGAGTGGGATCCCTGGTCTGTACTGAGAGTCCAGCAGGTCAAAGCTGATTTTACTCATGACGGATGTGATTCCACAGGAGCCTGTTCCAGTCATCTCTATTCCTGAGAGAGAGCACAGTAAAGAGGGATTATTAATGAATGGCAGCATTTCTAGACATGTCACTCCACTTTCCTCATCTTTGCCAGGCCCTCCTGTTATGGCCTGCCATCACTTTGCCATGTCCATGTGATACATACCTGTGCCATCTTCTGTGATCTTGCCTTGTACCTCAATGCTCATCTCATATCCCCTGCGCTGGAGCTGAAATATCTTGGTCCTTACTACACCAGAAACACACCCACGGGCGTCTGCCTAAGCAGGGAATTGGAAAGAAAATTGGAATTCTGTGAAAAAAATTTGGTGCCTTGTGGGACAGGAATAGATACCCCAAACCCAACATGCTTAACTTCTGTCATGAAATCCCAGCCTTATGTTCTAGGGTTGTCTCCAAGACCACAACTTGTTTACAGCCTGTTTCCTAGTGTTTCATTCACACATTTTCTGTGCTCTGTGAGGTACTTGACACTCAGTTCTCCAAGGCACGCACTGGTTTCCTTGTTAAATCTCTCCTACCTTAGTTCTGTTTTTCTTCCTGTTTCTTCTGTTGTCTTCACTCTTTTCCTTGTTGCCCTTTCTCCTTTCTCCTGTGCTTGACCCATACACAATACCGCCTTCTTGTTTTCTCCTCATCTTTGCTCTTTACTCCCTGCCAGCCCCTCCCACAGTTACAAAATTCTTTCACAAATTCTTTTCTCAGTTTAGGGATCAATAGCAGGGACCTCACAGCTGCTAACTGGAGATTTGTCACTAGTTTCAATAGGGTCAGGATTTCAGCTGTGGGGTTTTCTTCATCAGTTCTGTTTCCAGTTTAATGACCCACCTCTTAAGAATGCCTACCTCTGAGGACATCTGCTTTTCCCCAGACAGAGTGCTATCTCTGATGTCCTACTATCTCCCAACAGTCACAGATTTGGCCTCCTTTAGACAACATTGCCCATTACCCGTAAGAAAGACCCCTACATTTTAATCTTGGAACTCACCTGCCTAGTGAATTCTTCACACACGGCTTCTGCTTCTTTTCCGTAACAACTTGAAGCAGAATGGGAAAATTTCCGGCACACTTGGACATTCACCAAACCAGGAACAGGTTTCCCATAGGTGTACCTATAATCATAAAGTGTTAAACAATATATTAGATGATGAGACAATCAGTCAGAGAGTCACACTCAGACACATCTCCTTAAAGACCTCTGTGGATGACTTCCCAATATTTCTTCTTAAAGGCTGACTAATCTCATATTTTAATCATTCTAGTGATTACGTTTCCATCATTTCCATGGTGAGATTCTTCCATCATCCATTAAAACCTCTTCTAGGTGGGAGGTCTCTGCAGGAATGCAGTAAAAGATTGTCTGTAGAAAATTATTTCAGCCGGGCATGTCCTTGTATCACAAACTCCTGAGGGTTCAATGAAGAAGTAGAAAGGCAACCAGGGGCTCAGGAGGAGCAATTTATGAGTTAAAAATGAGAACGCTGGGTTTGCACCACCTGTTTAAGTGATGTCTGATCTGACATCTCTGAGTATTTGAGGTTCAGGATTGGCAGAGAAGCTCTAACTGAAAAAATGTAAAGACAGAAAGAGAAAATATGCAGTAAACTGGGAGGAGAGAGCTGCAGACTGGTTTGGCATCATCTTTTAAGGAACATAGAGAAGACCCTTCACTTTGACTGTTCAGGCCAAGTAGCAGGCTCAGGTTTGATTGGGTGGAACAAGCCTGCACTAGATGTATGGGAAAAGTATGAAAAGCCTTCCCTAGCTCTCTTTCAGTCCTCAGCAGAAAGGAGGAGTGAAGGTTGAGGGAGAGATTTACTCCAGCTCTGTGACTCACAGACCGCAGACGGACACTGGAAGCTCCACATCCTTAATGGTGATCATTTTGGGCAACTTCACCAGGACCTCGTACTTGGGCAGCACTAGATGGGAGAGAGAAAGTCCGATATGAGAAGAGTGAAGGAGAGCTGTGTACTACACAGCAACCCAAACACAGAGCCAGGATCATCTTAATACGTAGCATCACCTCTCTGTGGTCTGCAGTACAGCTCTGCTACCCCTTCCCTAGGTTCTCTCAGCCTTCACCACCACTTTGGGTTTAAAGGGAATTTAAGGAGGGTTGTAGTGCTTACCTTCCCTCATTTGCAGCACATGCTCATGTGATCCCATTGGCACCAGACAGCTGTGTGGATCCCTTACATATGCCCATTCAGAAGGACACACTGGCCCTGTGTGTTGTGTTCCATATTTCACAATACATAATTTGCAACTAAAACTTGGAGTAGCACATTCACCACCTGTGTCATTGACCACATTGAAACGGCTCGAACGATTGATTCTCTCTGTCTGTTTCTTACTGTTCTGGAGATCCCAAGCTGCTGTTAGGCTCACTAATATGTAGCATGTGAAACTGTCCTGCGTGTCCAGAAGTTCTAGGGAATCCAGTCACAGACTCTCAGGTCTATATTTTCAAGTGGACGAGGCAGCAACAAGGCCTGATATAAAGGGTGCCAAGTAAAAGGCATATTTTGCTCCTGAGTATTAAGTTACATCCCTCTTCCCATATTGCATCCTTGCAACCCTAAGCCCCCAACTACTCAAGCCCAGGACTGGACTGAAGCATGTAATGGCCTGCTTCCAGGTGATGCACCTGCGGTTTTTTTCATAGTGCAAGAAAATAAGAGCAGGGAGGGTGCACACCCAGACCCAGGAACTAGAAAGCAACCCTGGGTTATACAGTTTAGACATAGATTTGCCTCTAGGATGGGAGGCAAAGCTCAATGTTTCAACCCCAGGGCACATTTCCTCAAAAGTCTGTAAGAGAACTAGCAACAGGGGAGATTCATGGGAATAAGACTAAAGAACAAATAAAAGAAAGATGAGTTTAGTGTGAGGTTAAGAAAGGGACATACATAAATCTTTGATTTTGGGGCGCATTCGGAATGATCTTTGTGGGAGGAGGCACAGCCCATCTGTCACCATGGCAGGCTGAAGCCTATAACCTGGTTTCTGTTGAAATTATTCACCATGTTCATACTAGCCACCATGCCTGACTTTGAACCAAATAAGTCAGCTCCCATGGACTCCAATGACAATATTCTTCAGGTCTGCACGCTGCGTATTCCAGAAACAGCAGGTTCTGAGCAATGCACTGGGTCATTTGGGCTCCATGTACAGCCAGGGGGAGCCCGGGAGTGTGGAACACAGGCCAGGCAGCCTCCTCAAATGCACACAGCCTAGCCAGAGTACACGTCTACAAACACCTGAGAAGTTTTATTACAGAACTGGGGGTTAGAGTGCTCCCTGGGCCAGCACATTTCTCCTTAGTCTCTACTACCAGACTGTTTGCATCTGCTTGTAACATTTGTGGAGTGTTCTTCAAACTAAAGTTTTCTACCAAACATATTTTCTAAGCTTTTGCAGAAACAAGGAAGAAGAGGAAAAAGAGAGAGGACTACAAGTGGAGAAATGGAACCGATGCAGATGAGGCAAAACAGGGTCACCAAAATATTGTCATGTCTTACTCTGTATCTAGTGCTACTTGCAACAAGCTGCTGGACTGAAAAGCATCTAAACCAATGTCAGCTGAAATTGGTGCCCCAAGCCATGCACAGGAAGCCTGTCAGACCCTGTACTCCCAAGAGCACTACGAGCAAACACAAGCTCAGGCAGGTTGCAGAGATGCCATAAAGTGAGCAACCCCCTCTGACACTCAGCACCTTCTGGGTCAGCCCCTCTGAACCCCATTGCCTATGTGTTCAGTCCCTCCCTTCTCCATGCCATTCCCAGGAAATCCCAAATCGAGACGTCACAGTAAAAGGCATTGCTGTCAGCCCCACTTGCAGCCCATACCTCCTCTCCTTACCGTATTCCTCCACGCTGAAGGAGTGCTCCACATTGGATGAGAAGCTCTTCTGCACAACTATTTTGTAGGAGCCTTGGATGGGGTCCGACGTGAGGGGAAAGGAGAGCTGTGTAAGGCCAGTCTCTAGTTCTACCCCTTGCCATTGGTACACACGGTTCCTCTGGGGATCCTGCAGGAGAGGATAACTCAAGGTTACAAGACAGTACAGGAGGCTCCTAGGGACAGAGCAGTGGAGTGCCCAGTATATATACATTCCAGCTGGGAAATGCCTAACTGTAATTATTCAATAATCTGTGAGGATCTGTGAGCACTTACCTGTCAATTCTGCATAACTAGCATGCAGGAAAGCTTTTTAACCCTGGAGGTCCTATGTTGTCTTCTTCTCAGCTCTACCTGCACGCTTACGAAGGATGGGGCCAGGAAGCTGGGAAAGACAGACTGGCAAGGTAACAAGACAAAGAGATGGATCACAGGAGTAAGTGGAGCACAGGGAGAAAGGAGGGAAGTTTCAGTCTCCTTCACTTGCTACACAGCCTGCTAAAATTTTTTTTCCATGCCTGGAATAGAGACTGTCTGAGTACCAGTGCATAATCTGCTGAGGAATGAGACAGGAACAGAGGAAAGTATATCCCACATATGTGCATCCAGCTGAGAGCTCTCCCTTCTTGTCTCTCCCAGCTCCTAATGCTGGAGCTGAAATCTCATCTCTACTACAGCTGAGTATCACTCATTGTGAACTGACTATCAATAGGCTGTGCTCCAAATTAATCAGCTCAGCTCCAAATTTCCTGTAGAAGTCACTGAGCCAATGCAGTGGTGCTGCGTAGTTTGATGCACCCTTTCCAGGCTCCTCAGCAGGATGGTTAATGTTCACAGTCTTTCATTTTCTGCCTGCTCTTTGCATTGTACCTTGGCTGTCACCAAAAGTCTATTTACTCTAGATAGGTACGTGACTCAAGGTATGTGACTGTGTGCATTTACTTCACTGAGATCTTATCTCAGGGCTTAGGGAAAAGGGGATGTGAATGACATCCCCCAGTTGGAGGTCACCAGTCAGGGAGCAGAAGAGGGGGCCTTCTTCCCAAGAAGCACCCCAGGAGGAAGGCACAGTCAGTAAAACGCATCCCATGGCTCTGACCAAATCCTCTTAATCATCATGTTTCAACCCTGCTGAGAAGCTCACCACTTATTGTGAGGGACACCAACGGGCTTCCTTGGAAGAGGAATTCAAGAAAATGTTTACAGCTGGGCTTGTGAACTTGTTGCCATTTCTATGATGTATTTATAGGGAAGACCTGAAAGTCAGTTTGTTTGTTTTTCCTCAGAAAGGTTTTTTTTTTAAATTACAGAAGCAATAGGTCAGGATAATAGTTCAGAAATAATAGGCTCATACTAACTTTTGCCTTTGTGGCTGACTGCGATCAGTTAGTGACATTAAGGGTATGGACTGATAAACATTTATTTCCTTAGCACCGCTGACTTTAAGCTGTCACCTTTCTACACTCCTGCCACCCTTCCCTTTGGGCCAGTCCAAATTTCATGCAAGCATGTGATAAACTGCACTGGCAGATCTGATCTGGCCAAAAAAATACCCTAGAGAAAAATGGTGAATTTGCTGCCAGATGAGTTCCCCACTCCACACGACTGCCTCGTAGACATCTGTGAAAGCCAAAGGGTGGTACTGGACTGAGAAGGAGCATTGAATAAGGGAGAGGTGATGGTGGGGATAGAGGACAAGGCCTACATAAGCTGGCTTAAACAGAACGGACAAACACCATGCCTCACAGGCTGGAGCTGAAAACACAGGATGGCCTTCCTAGTGATTTAAAATTGAAGCCTTTCATGGTACTGACACAAAAAATGTCATGAAATTATTCAGCTTGTTAGGCAAAGGCATATGGGATTTCTGGAGGCAGTGAAAAGGATTTATTTCTTCTTGCTCCTTTCATGAAATTCCTGTACTCAGTCAAGTAACATCTCATTGAAAGGGAAGGGACCTGTTCTACAACCCCATGGGAGAGCCTCAGCAGAAGGTAGTTCTGAGATGCTCTCCTCCACGTGCTGTCCCACACCACACACTCTCTTCTCCAAATATTCACAGACCGTCAGTGGCCCACCAGCTCTGCAGCTCTGTTCTGGAAGTTTGCTGAGGGGAAGAGAGAGTGACAGCACTCTGACAGCAGGGCAAAAAAGAGCAGCATAGCCTGTTTCTGGCCCACCTTCTGCTCCCTTGTTGTGACCACACCTCCAGCTCTAGAGACAGACGGTGCAGAATGGAGACAGCAACCCCAAGCAGTAAGGAGCAATGACAGGACTGACTTACATAGGACCCATAATCACACAAACCAGCTTAAGATTTGTGCACGCTGATTTCAGCACTGTTTGTGCTGCTATCATGGCTTCAGGGTCCATTGCTGGGTCCTTCCCATCTTTTCCACTAGAAGATGTCCCAGATAATAATTGTAAATTCTGGTTTCTCAGCTGAAAAAGCGAGTACTTGAATCACTGACAGAAACATCCTTCCTATTAAATTTTGTCTGCCACTGAAGTTCAACTATTTAAAAAAAAACAGACAAAAAGGGCATGCTTGGGAAGATTGGGGATGTCTACTTACATAATTTTGTTTCTTAAGTTTTGCTAGTTTGTTTAATGCAGTTCTGTGGTTTCAACCACACTTGGCAGACAGAAAATCTTAATTCTGATTGGGAAGAGGAATAAGCCATTCTGATATGACCTCTAGGCAAGTGTAATTCTGTTCACAGCATGGCTTGCACTGATTAACTATTTTGTTCCTACAGCACATTCCCCAGTCAAAGAACTATTGTCGGAACTTATTTTGATCTCAACTACTCAGCCTTCCTTTACACAAAGGAAAAAGGTCACGCAACAATGTTTTTTCCCTTGCACCTCAGCCTGAAAACACCACTGCTGGAGACTACTACCTCTGTGCCTGCACATTCTGCTGAAATAATAGACATGTAGTTATCCACTCACCTGAACATAGACAAATGGAAACTGTGGGGAAAGAACAAAGGAAAATCAGCATTAGAAATATTAGTCACATATGGACGGAAGTAATTTCCAGATTTGGACTGAAGGGCAGAAGAACAACCTTCTAAGAAGTCCTTTGGGTTCTTCTTTTTCTGTACTTGCTCTGTTTCCTTATTTCTGGATGGTTAAGGGAATCTTTTCTTTAATATTTTAGAGCCCCAACCTTTTGTCTTACCAAAGTATGAAAATGTGATGAAGTAAGAGTTTTCAAAGAACTTGTCTGCATGAGGAACTGATTGCCAAATAAGCTAAAAGGTGGACTTACAACCCTGCCCAGTTCCTTAAAACCAAGTCCTTGTCATGCTGCTCTCTCTGCCTCTAAGCATGTAGTTGCATCCACTGCCAGAAACGCCTGCACATCTGTCACTATCAATGGAAACTTGTCCCACCCATTTTTTCAGTAATGAGATCCCTGCCTACATGCCTAGCCACATACATTCCTTTGCAAATCTGGTTTTAAACACCTATATCCCTTTGAAAAAGGGGATATGTTTCTCAGTCAATAGAGACAGGTGGAGTGTGTCCCAGGACAGGATATGGAATGGGTCAAAGATGGCGTGAGTAAGAAAGGATCATATGCTTTAAATGCTTCATGTGTGCAACATATGCTTCAGTGGTTCTGGATGATGACAGTAATGGTGTTAATTGGGAATTAAGCTTCCTGGTTAACAACAAAGAATTATGGCTCTACCTTCTCATTCAGCGGGTAGAAGTCTTTGTCCAGAGAGACGATCCGAAACAGAACTGAAGGGTGTAACGGAAAAGAAGGAAATTCCACTGTTAAATTTGTAGCCATTACCAGGAAATGTCAGTGTTTCAATAATTTATAACTCAGATTTATTCCACGGATCAACAGGCTCTGAACTGAGATCTCTAAGTTACGGATGCAATCACTTCAGGCTCTTTCTTTTGCAGATGGTGAGAGGCAGATAAATTTAGAAGGATAATCAGGTCTTGGCTGAACTGAATTGTCCCTTGGGAGTGTCTGTCCTGCTTTGTTGATTCAGGTGCAGCCAAGGGAGACTATGCTTTGAAGTCATCCCAGATTCGTGCCTCTAGTTGAGTGGAATGAATCTGAGCCTGTGACTACATCTGGCTGAGATGCTGTGCCTGGAGGATGGAGAATAGGAATGATGAAGGTACCACATGCCCTAGATCTCAGCTGACAGAAATAATTTACTGAGCGCTTTAACTCCCCCCATGATGAAGTCTGAAAACTTTAATAAAAGTATGGGGCCTCTGAGGAATGAAGCCTGTAAGATTTTCTGCTGAATCTGAGCCTGTGACTACATCTGGCTGAGATGCTGTGCCTGGAGGATGGAGAATAGGAATGATGAAGGTACCACATGCCCTAGATCTCAGCTGACAGAAATAATTTACTGAGCGCTTTAACTCCCCCCATGATGAAGTCTGAAAACTTTAATAAAAGTATGGGGCCTCTGAGGAATGAAGCCTGTAAGATTTTCTGCTGTCAGAGTCAACACCAACCCAATTCCCCGTGTACCTGTCTGTCCTGGCTTGTAGATGGGTTTGTCTCTCTGGACGAAGACCAAGCTCTCAGAATTCTTGACCAGCACCGGCTTGCGGCCTGAAATGCAGACAGAAATAATTTACTGAGCGCTTTAACTCCCCCCATGATGAAGTCTGAAAACTTTAATAAAAGTATGGGGCCTCTGAGGAATGAAGCCTGTAAGATTTTCTGCTGTCAGAGTCAACACCAACCCAATTCCCCGTACCTGTCTGTCCTGGCTTGTAGATGGGTTTGTCTGTCTGGACGAAGACCAAGCTCTCAGAATTCTTGACCAGCACCGGCTTGCGGCTCCTGAACTGCAGTGTCGCCCCCTTCACCATCACAGTGAGAAATGCCACTGATGTGCTATTGGATTTTGGAAGCTAAGGAAAATGAAGAGGATAACTACTTTACTGATTCACCCCATTGCACTAAGCCTTTGAAGGACGGAGTATTAGTTAGGTCCAAAAGTTCCCTAAAGGGACACCAAAAACTCAGTGCTGGAAGCAAGAGAAAAACATGATTTTCTGATATGAACTTGGAGGGCTTGTCTCTGTCTCAAGAAAAATCTTCTTTTTCCTTCAGGAATTGTTGCAATGATAGATCTCCATTTCCTTGAGTTTTCTCCATGCCGCTTCTTCCTCTGCTTCCAATACTGGAAGCCTTTTCCCTTCCTTCATTTATACACTTTCCTGAGAGAAATATTGAATCTGATCTTGTCCCATCCTATGATTTATCAAAATGGAAATCAACCCAGATTCATTATTTAGGGGGTGAGACCAGTTACTTATGTTACTTACCAACCAGCCTTCTGCAGGAAACAATCATGAATAAGCTCTAGAAGGAGCCAAATGACCTCATGGACCCCATTGACCATTCCCCAGCTTCTACAGTTCTCCTTCCACTTTGCTATTTTTCCTCTGAGGCTTACACAGACCAAACAAACATGGGGTATGTTCTCAGTCAAAGTTCTAGGATGAAGGATCCCAAAAGAGTTCTCTAAGCCCTGCATGCACAGAAATATCATGTGGGACACAGAATTTGATAATGGTGGAAAATTATTCCTCATAAGGATACTACAGTCAATTTTCCACATCAAATTCAGTTTTTGTTTGGCTTAGCTTAGAAGTCTCTGATTGCAATGTGTCTTATTTCTCATTTCTGGACTGTTTAGATCTACTACGCCACATCAATAAACACAGGGGATCAGCCCACAAGGATGAGATACTCACAGAGAAAGGGATGCAGGTGAACACGTCCTTCTCTGACACCACGTCATCGATCAAGCTCCTGTTTTCCCCTTGATACTCGAGTGTGGCACTCAGTGTCACAGACTCATTCAGGTGGGTCAGCTGAACACAGACTTTCTCAGGAGAATCAGTGTGTATCAGAAAAGGCAGTAGCACCATATACTGCCTAGGAAGAGAGGGAAGCAAGAATCAGAAGGATCAGAAATGTGAACCAGTTTTAAGGAAACAGTATTAAGTGAAAGGAAATTAACAAATCAGCATGCCTCATCCATTACTACCCCTGTGAATTGCAGTGCATATACACATAAGCATTCATTTTATTTTGGGTTTATACATATTAAACTGCCTAACTAATTAGCCTAAAAGCAGGAAAATGCTTGCAGTGGAAGGAACAATTTCTATGCTAATAGAGAGTCCTTTACAAAAGATGTTTTGTTCTGCTTCACAGCAGGGAGTAAAGACGGTGTGAAAGGTTCCAGGCTGTTAATTGATTTTTGTATATCCCACAATCTCCTATTGAGACTCAAAGGCATTAGCTAAAAAAGGTTGAAAATTCAGCAGTTTTAGGGTTGAAAAAACCACCCACTTGTCTGGCCGCTCCTGTCTTTGCCTATCCAGGTTTCCAAATCTTTCTCATGCTGAGCAAAAATGTGAGTGCTTGCAGTTTGGGACCTTATTAAGATGAGCACACAAAGGATTTCAGAGAGTAGTGGTTTATTGCAACACAAGTGTACTTGCATCTTCAAAGAGCTTTTGACAAAGGTCCCTCACAAAAGACCCTTAAACTAAACTGCCACCCAATAAAAGGGATCATTTTACTAATTTTTTACTAATAAATAAAATTATTAATTCTGACGTGGATTAATTGGTTAAAAGATAGGACACAAAGGGTAGGAACCAGTGAAAATCTCCTGAGTCTGTGTTGGGACCCCTGTTGTTCAGTACACTTCTAAATGATCTGGGAAGTACGATTTTCTGGTAATTGTCCAGGGTAAGAAAATACCTAAAACTGACTTGCATATTTGTGGAAAACTTCTGTCATATGGTGGGACTGTGTAGCAAAAATGGCAAATGACCTGTTCATAAAGATCATGTTGTTCATAAATCAATAGAGGAAGAAAAAATTACCCCAACAGTATATATGCTGTCGTGTATATGCTGTGTCACGAAGTGGGCTATTACCATTCAGACATGAGCGCTGTTGATCACTCTTGGAAAATTCTCATTCAGTGAAAAGTAACAAATGGATTGTAGGGAAGTGTTCAGAAAGTAACAGAGGACAAATCAGAACACATCGTTTTGCCATTGTATAATTGCAAGGAACTTCCACATCTCACATATGGCATGCTGGTTTGCTCCCTTTTAAAAAATGGATTTAGCAGAAAAGATTCAGTGAAAAATGGCAGAGGTGATCTGAAATCTGGAATAATTTCTGTTGGAGGAGACACTACATAGATTAGGACTCTTCAGCCTGGAAAAAGGCATGACAGAAAGCTATAAAGACATGACGTGCATGAAACAAAGTATGGTTTGTTCATCACCTGTGATGACGCGTGTACTAAACGACACCAGGTGAACACATTAAGCAGCTGTCTCAGAAAAAATAGAAGGAAGTAGAAACTTTGTCACTAATGTACAAAATTAAACTGAGGAACTTAATGCTACCAGACGCTGTAAAGTCCAAATGTTCTGTTCTGGTATGGCCATCTTGTGGCTCTTGAGCCTTCTGGTGCTCTCAAGCAGTCCAAGAAGGGCACATACACCCAGGCTGCATCAGGTGATAGACAGCAGCCGACTGTCCTTCCCTGGGTAAGGAACAAAAGGAGCCAGCAGGTGCCACTGAGTTGGATAATTAGGGCCTTACCTGCGTGTCCAGCCAAGTGCAGGCCCCTAAAAGAAGCTGTCACCCCCCACCTGCCAGTAACTCTCCGAGGCATATAGTATCTGCCCTATGGCACCAGCTACATAAAATTTGGTATGAGGCTCATAAGGGCAAGAAGATCAGCTACTCCTGATATGAAGGTTATAAAAAATGTCCTGGGTAAATTCATTGCCCAGAAATGGCTAGAAAACAGAGCGGCACAGGTGTAATCCCTGCCACGATAAGACCTTGAACCTCTGATAGAAGCTCCATAAGGCTATAGCAGATGGGAAACTCATTTCCACAGTACTTGCCTTGCTCCTCTATTCTGTCCCTCAGTACCTACAACTGGCCACCAACACAGACAGAATACAGAGCTAATGTAGTCCCCTGGTCTGATGCTGGACCATTTTTATGGACCTCGTATTCCTTTTTCCCTGTGCACATTCAAGCTATCCAGACGCAGCAGCAGCAGGTTCTGGTGGCAATTCAGTCTGCAGGGTATATTAACCACTGTATGCATAGCAGGAAACCTGTGGTCAGGACTGCTCATAGCACTTTTCCATGGGCCCTCCACTGGAGAAGGCTAATGTGCACCTTGCCAGATGGTGCCAGCCCTGGGAGAGAGATAGCTGGGCCTCTCCAGAGCTACATTTTTGCCTGGGCTCTGAGCCTTTGGGAAGTCCTAAAGCTACTGTGGAGGCAATGGGACCCAGGCAGTACCTCCATTTCCCTCACCACCAGACAACGCGATAAAGTGGGGTGAGGAGCCAGCTGGCAACTCTGGCCAGTGCGTGCTGCTGCAGAAGCAGTGAAAAGAGGGAGCTCCAGCCACCCAGGGGGTGACTTACAGCTTGTGACTATCTGCTCGCTCCAGCGCTCCCCTTCCTCCACAGCCTTCTCACCACAGCTTCACGCCGTGCCTGCTTCCCCTAATCTCATTTCCCCTGCCCCCTGTCAGTGGCATTGGCAATCTGACTGTAACGTCCAGTCTGCTGAAGGGACAGTGTGACCTAGTTCGTGGGGAATTTGGCCTCATTCCTCTTCCTGTTCACTGTTCTGCTGAAATTTTGGCCAACATGCAGAACTTCCCTCTACACTGGCTTGCCTGCCTTTGAAACAAGGATATGAAATACGCTGTTTATAGACCTCCCTTTAGCTGTTTTGTGATGTGTTGGTGAAAAGAGCTAGATGAATTAAAGTACTATAAGGGCTTTAAATAACTTGGGTCACAAAGTCCATGTATAGACATTCCAGGACAAAAAGCATCTGAGCTGCCGAAAGAGACCTCAGCAGCCTCCCTGCATGCAACAAACTGTTCTGAAAACAGAGGCAGTGACTCTGGCAGAAGGAGGCAACAAGGAGGCATAGGAGACCCTAGAGAAAGTGTCTGAGGCAAAAATGATGAGTTTGTATATATACAGAAGGTAATATTCTAGCTTAAGATGGACTAACGTCTGTGTATTGACTCTCAGCTACTTCCTGGAACAAACACCCAACCAAAGAAGCCAGTGAGTTTCATCAGCTCCATCAGTCCAAATCCACACCTGCCAATTCATGTGCCATCAGGACCTTGCATTTCTGACTACATGTGGTATATTCCCAAGGATGTGCACTGCATTGTAAAGTAGCTGGCATGCACAACCACATATCAGATTAGGAGAATGATACCTCCTACTGAATTTTTCCAGAACAGACCCAGAGCAAGAAAAAAAAATCTTGCTGTCAGTATCTTACAGATTCATAAAATTTTTGGTTGCAAGGGATCTCTGGATGTCTCAAGCCCAGGTTCTCTCCTGGAACAGGACTGTTGCAAAGGACTCCACAGATGGAGTTTCCACCATCTCTCTGGGTCACCTCTTCCAGTGCTGCACTAACTCAGTGAATAAGTTTTTTTCTAGAATATAGTCTGAACCTTAATTTTGTCTCCTGTGCAGCCAGCCACATCTGAAACAGAAATAGCAGCAGCTGCTGCTGCTCAAAGAAGCTATCTCCCTACTTGTGCCCAGGCACAGGAAGCAAGCCTTGGTTGGAAGCTTCATTTTGTCTTCAGTTCAAGGGTGGCTTCCCTTCTGTGTTACGCACAGCATCTGATCTACCCTGCAGCACTTAAACCAGAACCACTACCCTCACACCTACCTAGCAATTCACTGCTCAGACTCCACTGCCTCCCTGCTCCCCAACTGTTTACTGGGTTTCTACCTTAATTCTGTGGATCCCAACTACACCCCTCTCTCCCCCACCTCTATCAGCCCTTCCTCCTTCTCCCCTCCCAAAATGGTGCTCAGGTCAGGGATAAAGAGCAGCATGTTGCTCACAGGAGGGGAGGACTGAGCAGTATGGATTAATTCCCTTTCCCCCTGATCTTGGGCAGGGATGAATTAAGATTACTTAATCTTAATTACTTAATTACCTCAGATTACTGTAGGAGACCAGAGACTTCAGCCTGACTCCAAAGCAGACTTGGCTGGCTGATCAGCCCCAGAAGCACCCAAACAGGGCAGATGAATGGGAGGTTGATGGTACAGTGTGAGTGAAAGGTCTTTCAGTTTGAGCCAGTCACCAGTTCACCTCTGACCACACAGTAAGCGGCAGCAGTAGTACTGTACTTTCTGATACAGCTGCTAGCACTACTGCAGTGCTTGTGGGCATGAAATCTCTGTAGCAAGCATTACGAGACCCACGGTGGTGAGAACTGCAGTTCTGCCAGCACAGCAAGAGGCACAGCGTGTGACAGCAGCCAGGGTCTGAAGAGGGAGGCTGCTCCTGTCCAGACTAGAGGCCCCGGAGCAATCCTCTCTGGTAGGCGAGGCTGGGGTGGGGATGCCAGCCTCCAGTCTGCCCGTGCCATCCCGGGCTGCCCTGCTCCTCGGGGCCCTCAGCAGAGTGGGCGCTGCAGCCATGCTGCTGGTCTGCAGAGCCCTGGGGTGGATGCCCCAGGGGACAGTGCCAGTGCCAGGCTCCGCGACGGAGGAAGAGAATCTAGGTCACAGATCCTCTTTGGGAACAAGTACATCTGATGCTACCAAGGGAAAAAAATGGCTTGAAAGCAACAGGAGAACGGGGAGAAATAACTCACTGACTGAAACAAGGATACTACAGGAAAGGTAAGTACATGGATTCTGGTATCATGCCCACAAAACCCCAGGCACCTGAAGGCTGCAGGAATACACTTAGGCAAAGTTGTTGTGGGGATCCAGGGCTGGGCTAGAGGCAGCTGCAGGGCAGGACTGTGGGCACTGGCAGAGCTGGGGGGCGTCCCAGGGCTGGACAACCAGGGGATTGCAGGGTGGGAGTGGGGAGCACTGGCAGAGCTGTGCAGGAAGCTCAGGGCTTGGCTAGTAGTGCAGGGCAGGAGTGGAAGAAACTGGCACAGCTGTTTGACAGAAAGGAAGAAAACTGAAGGAAAAAAGGAGCACTAAAACCTCCCTCCCCCCCTCCACATGTGTAGCTTACGGTTCTGTGGTGGGAGAGGTATTTCCAGGAAGGAAGAAGAGGAGAAGGAGGAAGATGTTTGGTTTGCTGGGCAGCCTGTCCTTCCCCATGGTGCAGAGCAGGTCGTGGTGAGTCAAGCAGACACCCAGTCTGGTCCGGTGCTGCTGTTTTCCCGCACCTTGTAATTCCCCTCCACTCTCTGCTGGGTCAGCCTCTTTATAACTGCTCTCTGCAAACATCCCAGGGGCTGGAGGAGATAAGGGCTGGGGGCCAGGACCCATCCGGAAACAGGGAGAGGCAGTAAGGAGGAGCTGGAACAGAGGGACAGTATTTGGCCAGAGACTTTCCAAGTGGGGGAAGGGTATTTATTGGGTAGTGGTTATATTAGAAATCTTTGAATGATTCATACCCTGCTTTCTTTAACCCATCAGTAATCCACAGTATTGGGGAAATGAACTGTGTTCAACACAGGGTAATATTCCCTGTGGGCAGCATCCAATCACAGCACTCTGATGTGGGGTGCTGTGATCTTTTAAAGCCAAAAGCCAGGTTTATAGGTATTTTAAGAACAAAAGGAAACCCACAGACAGAAACAGTGCCCATATTATGTTAACAGAATACTGCAGTAGTTTGCTGACACAGTTGCTAACATAGCAACTATGGGTTAGACAATTAATCGGCCAGGAATATAACCCAAAGTGAGGGGGGTTACTGGTCTAGATATGGAAATACGTTCTGTTTCCACTGTGAATATGCACAAGTATTACACAATGCCGTAGAGAGACATCCTTGCCTGCCCAGCATGGTGATCACCTTCCATAATTCGGTGTCACCTGTAGTGCAGATGTTCCAGGTGTTCCAGATAGCCCCTCCTTCCCTTTGCCAGATTCAGATCTGTGCTGCTGTGAGTCACATTTGTAACAAAACTCACTCAGAAATAGTGCTGCTCACTTGACTCGGTCTTCTGCAAACCTCTGGTTGTAGCAGCTTATCCAGAAGTTTAATCTAGTAAGAAAAAAAGTTTGCTAAATTACAGCAGGTCATTGAAATATTCAGTCCAAACTACAAGTACTCCCTGAGAAGCCTAACTAGGAGAGGTGTTTGCACCAGTCCATGGAAAACTGCAAAACTGGAGCTGTAGGGTTGTCAGCGTGCCCTCCAGTGCCTGTACAGTGAAAGGATTTGGTAACACTCTTCATAGAGATTCGTGACCCCTGTGAAGATTTCTGTTGTGTACGAATAACCCAGCAGAGAAAATGCTTCAGCACAAACCACTTTGAATGTGTCTATATGAAGCCACGTTAATGGCAGAGGTTCTCTGTTCTGTGCAAGAGAGCTTATTAGATCACAACAGCATGGGCAGCGCTATTTGCTCTTTGCCTGAAGATTAAGCTTTGAAAAAGAGTGAATGTTAAGACTGAATGTTAGCTATACAGTGTGTCTTGACTCTGATGTAGTAGCCAGAAAACTGCAGGGAAGAGCAGTGCAAAGGACCAGAAGAAATGTATGGGGATGAAAGGAAGTTTAAGAATGGTGTTGGAAAATCAGGCTCAGTCTCTTGTGGAATAAAATTTAACACCTTTTATAAACCACAAAAATTAGGAAAACAGTTGGGAGGCAGCCAGTGTCTGCTGGGGGGAAGTGTTATATAAATGTATTATGGAGAAGGAATGAACACATTACTCACGCAAGCCAAAAGTTTTAACAGATTATCAGTTAGAGATGGAAATACTGATAAAAAAGTGGTTGTATAACTACCAAGTAATAAAAACCATACAGATCTTTCTCCAGAAATGCCCCCTATCGTCTGTCCTCTCATTCCCATCTTCAACTTCTCCAGTAAATAACTCGTGCAAAATAGCAGTTTGCAAAGCAATAGCGTCCTGGGCATTTGTTGGAAAACATGACTCATCCCAAGTTGCCTGTTGTCATTCAGGCTGCTGTAAACTGAAAACAAAAAGAAATCTGAATGGACGCATGCAAAGTACGCTTTAAGGATGAGCATGTAAAACTAAAATTCATAGATCTACAGGGCCATCAAAACCAGCGATTCAATGGAGATCCTATTCACTATTGTCTTCTTCCTTCTACTAACCAGTTTACCATCCACAAGGTATAAAATACCTGCTTCTCAGTCCCCCAGGAACCACTTACCAGCTAATGGCTGGTATACATTACCACCCTAATGCCCACTTTGCTCCACAAGCACTAACCACGCTTTAGCTCAGGCAGTTGGTGCTTCAGCTGGTTCCTCTCTCACAACGCTGGGAACAAGTGGTCTGAACTTGCACTTAGCTCGAAAGCTTTTGGGTGCTTTTTCAGACCCTAAGGAGAGATTGTGTGTCTGAAAGACTGGCTACTTCTTCCAACAAGGCTAGCTGGTCTATTAAAAGATATCACTGCTGAAAAAGGCAGGCAACATCTTTGCCATACGTGGTGATGGCTTCAGTGAACTGGCAGTCATGATTTTAACCACAGGAAAGATATTTCCTCTTATGATAATACTTCATAAGTGTCTGAGGTCACTGCGCACCTGGCAGATCAAGAGACAATCGTACGTATCTAGTACCTTCAGTGACTAGTCCCCATATTAAGCTAGTACAAAACCTAAGTCAATCATTGTACCTAACTGTTGATCACAAAGAGTTTAAATTAGGCCACATCACAGTAAATGGTTGATATAGCCAAAATGCCTAAATCTAATTTCTTGTAATCCTCCAAGCAGAGTGGATTTCTATACTAAATGATAGCAATTAATTTTGGTTCATCCTGCTTGAAAATGAATGATTACATATATTTACTCTCACTTTTAAAGGTAGCACATCTTTTGGCTGTTCCGTAGAAGGTTTTTGAAACTTACTTATTTCCAATGCTAGATTAAAACTATAGCATTATTCTAAGATTTTATTTTGTTCCAAAGAACACTTGGGAAAATTAGCTTAGCCCTAGATAATTCTCAGAGAGGTTACAGTGATATACTGGTAAGTTACATGTGCTGATGCATTGGATTTCCTTTCCAGGTATTATCATATTGAAATGGAGCAAGACACCAGGTCAGTAAGAAACGGATGCCATAGGAGCACTTCCACTTTGCCTGAATGTATCATTATGACTATTTTTTTATTTTCTGGAGCATTTCATTCTCCACAATATTTCCTTCACACATTCCTTTCCACCAGCACTTTAAAATATATTATTTTGAGTTGGATTGACTGATACAAAAGGTGCAATCCATAAGTTAATACAGGCCATCATAAATATTGATGAATTCCAGTTACAGCAAACCTTATTCTGCAAAGTTTCCTATAAGCCATACAGTCTTCACTGCATTGCCTAGCAAAGATGACAGAAAAATGTGGTGTCCTACACCTCCAAGTTTATGACCACTATAGAAAACGTATTTCCCCATGAAAACAAAGTAAGATATTGAGCTGTGCAATTTTAATCACCTTAACCCAATTCTGGTATGTTTTCCTCTGACTTCTTTTCAATTTCTGTTGTTCAGCTTTGTAGACGACTACCAATTATCCACTAACAGAGTGTCTCAGCAGTCACTGCAATTGCAGGAAGAAAAGGTGTCTGTGGGTGGGTGTAAATACCCTTAGTACTATCACAACACTATTGTGTGCAGGAATCCTTGTCTGCCCCAGCAGTCTTAAGCAATTTTGGAACCACTGTCACCAAAGGTAAATAATCCTAAGAAAGACACCTGCTTCTTTACTATGTTCCTGTTCTGCCTCCTCGAGGACTGTAGCACAATGCTCATCCCTCAAAGCCAAACCAAAGCAATAAACTGAACTTCAACCTTTGGCTTTCAAGAAGAGGCAAGTTTTGAAACAAAAAGCTGAGGAAACAGTTCTTGGTAAAACTAGTATCATGCCTAAGGTGGTCCATGCACTTTCACATAAGAACCCCAGTGGAAACCAGCAGCTCTAGCAAAGGAATATCCCTCTTCAGTACCTACATCAGCTTTGCATGGGGACAGGTGAGAAAACAGTCACTGCAAAACCTGAGGCTTAATTTAACAGCTCCAGTTAACAAAATTGTGTTAACTGTTCAGCTAAAGGCAGAAAAAATCCTTTAGGAGAAAAAAGAAAAAAGAATTCAACGTTTCTATTTTAAAGGAAATCCAAATAATTATATTAGTTTCCCGGCCTATGTATCTACAGCAAAGAAACCCAAAGCAATTTATTTCAAATGACAAAAAAGCATTACAAGAAAAAGTATTTGTATAAATTAATAGGAGTAACAGCAATACCCAGAGAGATAAAAAAGGGTTTATTATTGTGTGGGAGACAAAATATTTCACTGGCCGTAATGAAGAGAAGGTCCTCTATCAGAAAACCTCAGACAATACGAACATTATACAAGCTGCAAGATGCAGATAAAGGAAGATACGCAATAAAATGAAACACCATAAAAAGGCTTTATCAGCTAAACTTCAAATTAAACTGAAAATATCAGAGCAAATAAAGATTATCCACTTTAGTGGCCTGTTGAATATCTTAACCTGAGAGAAGGGCCTGGTGGCAGATTAACTGCCTTTCCCAGGCGCGGACAGCTGGGCTGCCAAATATATCTCATATTTCTGTGGTGTCATATGAACAAATGAGTAAATTAAGGCATGCCAAAGACATCAATGAATTACTTTCATTTTAATGCACTTTGTAGATTAAATTGCAAACCACATCGGTAGCTGGGTTTTATAAATTGTCCTGTGACTATATTTTGCATGATGTAAGGCTAGCCCATTTGTAGGGTAAGCCTTATACAAAGTAGGGTTTATCCACCTTTCCCAGCTATATTATAACAAACATCACCTCTATGTATAAACTTTGTTTTGCCTTAAAAGAAACCTATACTGTATGTATAGGCTGCAACCAAGGTTGTTAACCCTCCGGCATGAGAAATCAGCAGTGTGTCTGTCTGATACTCATACTGCACAGTACTCACAGAGTAGGATCCGTTGCTGAAATCCCACTATTAAATCCATTAAAGGTAATTAGTGAATGATATCTAATAATTTTAAAATATATAAACAAGAAACTAGCTGCTTGCATGTTCACAGATGTATTTTGGATATTACAGAGAAATGAAGATAATCTCTGATGTAGTAAAGAATGAAAAGCAATTTTCATTTATACATTTGTATTACTCAGACTATTGCCAAGAAAGGGAAGAGAAAAAGCAAAAGCATTTACAAATGTGTCTGAAAACAGCACTTGGGACAATTAACTATACTCTTTTTGAGTCATATGACTCCTCTTTTCAGATAAAACTT